TTCTGAAAAAGTTCTTTCATGATGTGTACATTATAAGATGAAAGAACTTAGTAATTACTGCAAATTTGATAGTGGATTGTTGACATCATCTCTTTATGTGGCTGGTCTTTTTTCTACTTTTGTTGCCTCATCAGTCACCAGAGCGTATGGTCGCAAGGCGTCAATCCTTCTTGGAGGAGCTAACTTCCTTGCTGGTGCAGTCCTTTTTTGGAGCTGCTTCTAATATCTATATGCTTATAATTGGTAGAGTTTTACTAGGTGTTGGTTTTGCAAATCAGGTAAAAAAAAATACTCATTTCATTATTTGGAAATGTTTTATACTCCGAGTTTTTACTCTTAATGAGATGCTCTCATAATCATAGAAATGTCATGACATGTTGAACCACAAGTTCTAACGGTATGTTTGATATGTGCATAAAGTCTTTCATTTTTAAACTCTGTATCTAGTCTAACACTATCACTTAAAGTGAAATGAAAACAGTACTTCTCAACTAGTAGACGCACGTCCTATATTTTCACTCTTGTAAAGAAAAAGAGTTGTTCGCAAAATGCAAATCAGGTAAACTATTACTCCATCTATTCCATTTAGTACATTCTAAAACGAATTATACTTTTCCCTAACTAGAAATACTTCCACTTTTGAGATGCTCTAATAGTCATAGTCTCGTAGAAATGCAACATGTTTAAGACGACAAGTTCTTAAGGTACTTTTGATACGTGCCAAAGTCTTTCGTTTTAAACTCTGTATCTAATCAAACACGAACATTTAAAATGAAGTGGAAGCAATACTTCTCAACTAGTAGACAAACATCCTATATCTTCACTTTAGTAAATAAAACTAGAAGTTCTCTAAATGAAAACTCAAAGACTTCCCCTTTGACAAATTTACCATTCTTGTTCCATTTTGAAAGTAAACCAGCTCAATCAACTATCTATTCTAGCTAAAACCTAAGTTTGTTGTCACAACTTTGCAGGCTGTACCATTGTATCTGTCAGAAATGGCACCATCCAAGTAAAGAGGAGGATTCAATAATAGCTTTCAACTAAGTGTAGGCATTGGAGTTTTAATAGCAAACCTTATAAATTATGGCACTGAAAAGGTCAAAGGTGGTTGGGGATGGAGAGTGTCTCTTGCTATGGCTGCAGTCCCAGCATCCATTTTAACATTAGGCGCGTTGTTCCGATGATGTACAAGCAGAACTTGATGATCTTATCTTAGCCAGTGAAATTTCAAAAACTATCAAACACCCTTTCAAGAACAAATTACAAAGAAAATACAGGCCTCAACTTGTCATGTCCGTGGCGATACCATTCTTCCAACAAGTCACAGGAATTATATAATGTGATTGCATTCTATGCTCCTATCCTGTTCCGAACGATTGGACTAGGTGTAAGTGCATCTCTTTTATCTTCTGTTGTAACAGGAGCAGTGGGAATTGTCACAACAGGTTTGTCAATGCTGATTGTCGATAAAGTTGGCCGAAGTGGGCTGCTGATATTCGGAGGAATACACATGTTTGTTACACAAATGATAGTAGGAGGATTAATGGGGGCTAAGTTGGGGGATCATGGTGGATTGAGTAAAGGTTGGGCCTTGGTGATTTTGGTATTGATATGCACCTATGTAGCTGGTTTTGGTTTGTCATGGGGGCCATTAGGATGGTTGATTCCAAGTGAAATATTTCCATTGGAGAGAAGATCAGTATTTCAGTATCAGTGAACTTTCTCTTCACTTTCTTCTTTTTTGGAGTTTGGGTGGCAATAATGACTACTTCTTTTTGCCAGAGACCAAGAATTTGCCTATTGAGAAAATGGACAGGGTGTGGAGAGAACACTGGTTTTGGAAGAGAATTGTAGAAGAAAATAATGAAGTTATCATCAAAGAAGAGGAAGGTTAAAGATAGTTATCATTAGCTCATCCTTGGAATCAATCAAAGAGAAGTGTACTTTCTGTATTTGTAAATTTATGGTTATGCTTATTGAAAACTGTATTTGGATTTCTAAAAGTCTGTAAAATTTGTGGTTATGGTTACTTAGAAATGAGGTGTTTAGTAACTAACTCCCATTAAGGACTACATAATATTGATAACTCCCATTAAGGACTACATAATATTGATACGTCGTTCCAGAAAAAAATCTAATTAAAGTACGTCTCATTGACATAATTGGATAAACTAGTACATAGTATGTTCAAAGTGTTTACTACTCAATTTAACTCTCTTATTTCTGACCTTACATGTACACCCTCAAAGTCTCAAACAAAGGAAAGAAGAAAGACAACTAATAAAGGCATAACATATAAACATGTTCTTTAACTTGGGTCAACTGACATTTATGTCCTCTAACTTTGAATATGTACAAGTACACACTTAAACTTGTATAGAATTGGACATCTAAACACACGTGTCCTACGTGACATAATACACATAGGACGTCATGAAGAATGTCACATAGGACACATTTGTCTACTTGTTCAACTTTATACAAGTTTAAGTTCTTATTAGTGTACACCCAAAGTTGAAGGGCATTGATACAAGTTGAAGCCAAGTTAAATGACACATTTATCTATTATGCCTAAAATAAACCTAAAAAGGGAAACTTTTGGCTTCTAGTCCTTTACTAAAGTGATATAACTAGCTTCTAGTCTATACATTTAATATAAACATATCAAGCGAAACAACTTTTCTGTGGCGCACGATAGCAACCCTAGGCATACGTGAGCGTGGTGTTGATTTGCAACAAAAGAAGAGGATGTGGTAGGTGATTTCGAAGAAAAAGAAGAGAATGAGTGTGGTGGGTGAATTTGAAGAAAAAGAAAGAGGACTAGAGAAGAAAAAGGTTGAGGGTTGGGGGTGGGGAAAGTGTTGGAGAAGACGAAAGTTGGGGAGTGGGGTGGTGTGGGGGGGGGGGGGCAGAGAGTAGATGGCTAACCTTTTTTTTATTTAGAATTTTTTATGAAATTCAAAATCAAATCAATAATGTGAGCTCATATATTAAGTAATTTCAAATTATTTTAACGAAAAAGAGCCTAAAATGCCCTCAAACAATGGAATTTGGTACAAAATTGCCCTCCATCCACCTTATGAGTATGATCTGTTAGACATAAGGGTATTTGGAGCCAAAAGATTGAAGTTAGGGGTATATGGGGGCCCAAAGGTGGATGGAGGGTAGTTTTGTACCAATTCAAATAGTTGAGGGGCATT